CATTTACAATCAAACGGACCCTATAAGAAACAATTCTTGCTAGGCTATTAAACTTGTAGGATAGAATGGTTATGGTTGTCTTGTTGATATAACATTTAACTCCTGCTTGATGGTGAATAAAATTATATTATTATAAAAGTTGATAAAATATATGATTGAAAAGTTATGGATCCCATAAGATATGTAGTTGAAATTAATCTTTGATTTTTACTTACATTAAAATCTACATTTTAATCCATACCGATCAGGGACTTACTTCTAAGCAAGGACATAATCATCATTTTAAAAACATGACTTGTAATTGTCAATTATTTTTGTTATATACATATTTAGCCCTTGTTTAAGCTCCATTTTGGAGAAAAATTTATTTTGAATAGTAATTTTTTAGAGAATGTATAGTTAAAAAGGAAGAAAAAAAATTTCGATTTACATGTTAAATTATTTTATTGAAAATTTTGTGATTAAAAATGAGTTTTTAATAAGTGGGCTCTAACAAGGGCTCAGAGGGTGTTTGGTGGAGATTGAAATTTGATTTTTAGTAAATTGTGATAGAAGTTTTTGAAATGTGTGGTTGAAAAGTTGTGAGACCCATGTAAAATGTGGTTAATATTGATTGTTTGACTTTGATTTAAATTAAAATCAGATTTTAATCCGGACCAAATAGAGGCTTAGTCTATGTTTGCCTCCATTTCTTAAATTCATTTCTAGTCACATATTTTATGAGATTCATAACTTTTATCAATTTTTCAACCACATATTTTATCAATTTTATTACAATTTACTAAAAAAATTAATTTTTATCTAAACCAAATATGAGCTTAATATCACATGTTCGAATACATAAATTAGTCAAAACTCACTTTTGAAGGTCTTATACAGATCCCACGGTAACTGAAAGGTTAAAGAGCTCAATTCTAGGTTTTCTGAATTAAACTGTTTATAAATCCTTACCTATTTAGTTTTTATTTGATTATCGTTATTTTCAAAATATATTTTTTCCTTTTCTTTTTAATTACACATTTTTCAATAAAATAACATTACACACAAACTCAATTTTTTTTCCTTATTAAACACATATTCTCCGTTAATTTACTATTCCAAATGTATTATTAAAATGTGGCTTTAATAGGCTATCAAAAGAGAATAAAGACTAGGAATGATAAACAAATGGAGTATAGCGATCCAATTAAAATTCTTATGAAAGTATAGGGACCTTTATGTAATTAAAAAAATATAGACCAATATAAAAAAATGCGAAGAGAATGAATTTTTCGAAAACCCTCTTAAACCACCACCACCACCACTCTGCGTTGTTTGCTCGCGCTCTCAAATCAAATTAATTTATGGCGCTTAATCGATTACAAGCCGTTCGGCATTTAAATCAAGCAGTCAAAATTCTCCAATTTTCCCACTCGTAAGCACACTACATTTTTAGAAAGTTAACACAAGGAAAATAATGTATATATGAACACACTTGCCCGTATTTGCAGGTTCAGAAGCTCAGAATGCTATTCAACTTTAGTCTTCACTGGTAATTTTTATAAGTTCCATTAAATTTATGCGAGATTTATAGATTGTTTATGGCTACTGAAATTCCAGTGGAATTATTAATGAATTATGCATTAATTCTTTAAATTGGTTATTTATAAATATTTAATGAAATTCTTGCTCAACTTTGTAATCTAGTTGATAGTTAAAAATAATATAAACCTTCAATTGGAAAAAAAAATAATACTCTTTCTGATTTTTACAATGTAGAACGTGTCTTCTTTTAATAATACGTTTTTTCATTCTGAAGTACTTATGTATTAAGTTATTACAAGAAGCGTTTCATCATTATTTTTTACCTTGTTTTTGTGAACAGATTCTAAATGTTGGAGCAACTCCTCTTGCGCCTTTTTTCAGAATGCTCTTCCATGGAATAATAAATGTACAATATTAATCTGATACCAATTATGCAGTCTTGTTCTTATTCTACCAGTTTAGGATACCCTGGGTGTTTTTCAGTCTGTTTCCTTTTATGGAAGTATTTATGATATTGAGGCATGGTTTTTGGTCATTTTATTAGTTCCTCAAGGTTTTTATCGAAGCATTGCATATTGCACAACTAATGGCTCTTGTGGGCTTCCTTGGACTTTTAGAGGTCCAGATGAATGCCAATTGATGAAGGTAAGTTTTTGGACTGTGAAACTAGTTACTTGGCTATTGAACATGTCAACTTTTCTTTTCACAAATCTTGTATAAGTTGAGTTTGGTTAAATAATGAATGGCTGCCAAAATATCTGATAGAGTTGTGCTTTGCTCTCATGCATCACCAATTCTTAGATACGGGATAAACTAGAAAGTGTTTTCCCTCCATACTCACATGTTTCCAAGCCTTCAATTCTTTAAATTCACATTTTTCTCTGTTGTTTAGGCTTCCACGTTACCAAACTTCAGTTGTATGAGGTCAGTTACCACTCAAGCAAAAGCTCCACCGCAAGCCCGACAAATGGTATGCTACTCTTTTCGCTAGAAATGGAGTATTTTGAAGTATTGCATTGTTCTGGTCAATTGCTTTCTGATTTTATAGCACATAAAATTTCGTGTTATCACAAGAAAGTACATATGGGTGAGAATGTTTAGACATCGATGATTAAATATGTCATACCTCAGATACTTGCAAGGTCAATGACTATATATACGGAACCAAAGCATCCCCATCAATTGTAAAATTGGTCGTCTAAAGATATATCATCATCATCATTATTAGGGTATTATTATTATTTGGGGGTAAACATACTAATGTTCAATATAAGAAACTCCATGTTAGTGGAACAGTTCATACATTTACTTTCATGCAAAAGGTACACTTTGGCCAAGATGGAGACTTAAATTAGACGGTTTACTATAGATGCACAAAAATATGGTTTAATACTTATTTTCCTTTATTTTTGTTTCGTAGGGTTATCTAATAACCATTATTAAATTTCCAACTGAGGGAAGTTATGAATATTATCACGAATGTATAGACACGTGGTACTAATGATTCTAATAATAAATAAGTGACAATTACATCTCATGATGTAAAAAACGTGAGCCTCCCAATGAAGCCAATGCCTGAAAATGCTGGAGATAAAAAAACAAGTAGGTCATTTGTCTGTTTGGCTAGTCAAGTTATGGGATTTGGTCATCGAAATAGCTTAAGGTGGGCCCATAAAGTGGAAAGAGAATCTTCCTACTGAGTATCTACAACATAATCAAGGTAGCGGCTGTTGCTGAATATAACTGCTGGAATCTATGGGAATTGTGGTATGAAGGATGTTTGTTTATCATGGTCAAGTTGGTTAGGGAATTTAGTGCTCTTACATACGTTATACTTATTAATATGGAGGCTTCAAAATCAACAGTTTAAAGGAAATTCCTTATGAACTGAAGTCATGGATAGAGTTTCAAGTTCTCAAGATATTATACAGTCAAGATAAGATAACATGCAAACATTCACATGCATATATCTGTATGCACACATGCGCACATTCATATGCATCGATACATACATCTATAGCCCGACTCTTTTAATACATGGTTGTTGTGGATTATGCATATAATTAAGACAACAATAATAATCTAACAAAAAGGTGTACCTAAACACTCAGGTAAATTGTACAAAATACCCATTTTGTCATCAATGGGGTGTAGGATCATTCCATTAGTCATTTTCTTGTAGCATTGCCTTGCCTCACTGGAAATGCACATCTGGCACATTTAGAGAGGTTTTCGTGGCTGCGTCTTTTTTGAATCATAAGTGCAACATAGGAGATTTTACTACACTGATAGTGTGCTTGGTAGCTTCTAAACTAGTTCTTCAAGTATATTAGGTCAACGAGGTCCTTTGTCATACAGTGTACTCAGTGGTTAATTTAGAAAGCCTCTATAGTGACCACTGTGCTTCTCTTGTTCCTTCCATCTGGGCAATAATTCTTTTCCATTTTTTTTCCTAAATAATTTACCGATAGCAATGTAGGATATTGTTTGTACTCTGAATTAGGGTGAAATACTGAATGTGTTTAATATACCTCAGTTGGTTTATCTAATTGAGGGAATGAAGAAAATTATGAAATAGAAGACTGAGGCACTTATCTGAATCTACAAAAAGGAAAAGATAAGTCATAAGAGGATAGAGTTTTGTGTACTCTAGGCTAATATAACCTCTGTAACCATTACTCTGTTGCTATTTACCGAAATTCAACAATAAGTAATTTAACAAATTTATCTGGCTAATATAACCTCTGTAACCATTAAGCTGCTGCAATAGGGGTTCTCATACAGAAATTCAACTTTGTGTGAGCATTTCTATGGAGATTCTATTCAGTGCCCTAATAAATTCGAATTAATAAAATTGGCTAGTTGCATTTCTAAATTCTCTAAAACCTGCAAAGAAGAGTTTTGAATTTATTTTATGGACCAGCAGGGTAAAATTTTTCACTGTTTAGCATGAGGTTTTCAAATTTTGTTTTGCTAGTTTTGCTATAGGACATGAAAATTGGTGCTCATTCTTTAGCAGCTGAATATATATTTTGGCTTTCTATATGATTGCCAAGGACCAATGTGCTAGAGAACAAAATGAAATGTAATTATGATAACAAAATAGGAAAGTATCTATGGCATTTTCTTCTCTTGTGGATCATAGTGTATATTGGCAACATGGAAAAAGCCAAAAGCTCTACCCTCATTCTCTATTTTTCCAAGGAATGGAAGGGCAGAGCATTGGGTTTCCCTTCGATTTTCTAAATCAGTAACGATTAAAATATAAGTCCCTTAAATTTTATGGTCAACTCCAATGTACTTGAGTTTTGTAACATCTTATTTGAGCACAAAGTCTCGTTTTCTTAGCTTCTTGTATCTCTTACTACTGATTGAATAGCAGTAGAATGTATGAAATAACCTTTTTTAGCTTCAAGATGTGGGTATTATGCAATAAACTGCCCCTTTTTGACCTTCATGTATGCAGGGGGCTCTTAAAGTTTCCATGTTGAGTCCTGGAATTGTATATGAGCCATATGCACCTCGTGAACCAATGTCCTTCTTGAAAAGGTTTGTAAAATTTACAAGGGAGTTTTTGCTGTTAAATCTTGTTTATGTTCAGCAACATATTTTCTAGATTGAAATTGAACTTCATAAACAAATTTAGGAATTTTGGTTAGCTAGTGAAAAATAATCTAAG